AACAGCAGTAGCTAAGGTTGTCACATCCCTTCTATATGGCTAATCTCCCTATTAGAGTCCTGACCAGCAGTAAAGACCTTGAAGAGAAACCAAACACTACCTGACTCCACTTAGACAGGTTTAGATACTTTTTTAATGTTAACTAGCCTGAAACTTTTCCTCTTACCATGTGTTTTTGGAGCTTATTCAACAGACTTAATAACGTGGTTCATACGTATTTCTAAAAAAAGATTCTCACATAGAAAAGATATTAATTTTTATATCCCTTGTCTCCTCAAACCGCCCCATTATGCTCCAGTGGCAGTTTTACAGACTGCTTAGAAAATAATTAGTTGATTCATGGATCTCAGCACTGTGCACAAGTGTCATCTTGAGCATCTTGGACCTTAAGGCATGATTGTAATTAGGCAAGACAGTAATTTCTCTCCAAAACACTAGCTGGATGGAAAGGCACAGACATTTAACTCCACAATACACTCTTGTCAGTTGTGATGTGGTTGGATAAACACAGCACTGAGGCTTATATGTGAAGTGGGTGTCACTGCAGTGATAACTATTTTTGATATAAATGAATACATTGTAATATATATGTTTTATTCCTATGATATCACTGTACAATGGAAGTCTAAGAAATGTGTTCCTTTCTCTGGCGAGGCTTCTGATGACCCCGGTTCATAGGAAAGAGCAGCTGTCCATGCAAAAAAAGCTACATGTGAATGCTCTGAGGCAGGCAAGTATTTCACAATGCTGCTCAAATCTTACTTCTGAGACCTTTTTCTTAAGCTCCCTGAGACCCAGCACATTGCACTGGTTTTTTTGTTTGTTTTGTTTTTCTTGTTAGAACTTTATTGAAATATCACAAATTACATTTCATTGAGCTCTCTAAGCACGATGTGTTGCAGTTGCGGCTCACATGCAGTACTTTTTTTTAGCACACACTACCGCAATGTAGTGTGAACTGAGCCCATTCGTAAAAAGGTAAATTGCCTTGTGTAGCATTGGGGCTGTGCTGGAAAATGCGGCCAGAGCACCCGTAACGCATCTGGTATGAATGCAACTAATGTAAGGATCACTCTGATGGAGGCAACCAATGTAACGGGGCACCTTGATGGGGACAACTAATTATTAGTTGTCCACATCAGAGTACAGCCTTACATTGATTGTACCCTTCAGAGTACCCCTTTATATTGTCCCCACATACCTTAATTTACTATAATTAGTAGGCTGTGGGTGGGATCCATGGAGAGGAAGCAGGCTACAGGACAGGATGGAAGAATTTACTCTTCCAATCTTCCTATAATCCTGGGGGTGGGGAACACTTTTGACTTCTCTGTTTATTAGGATTCCAGTGGTCCTAGCAACCAGTAACTGAAATGGAGGGGGAGTCTGTGCTTGGTTATGGCTGACCGTGGATGCACCAGCCTCAGAGGCCGGTGCATCCACTGTCAGCCATCCATACCCATTGCAAGTTGGTGATCGTGGTCCGGACAAAACCGCCACTCTCTATGTCCACACCACGGTCCGCCATTTAGCAACACCTAAAGCCTTATTGACAATGTAGGTTGGCAGTGTCTATAACTGCAAGTGGGATTTAAGGGCAGGCTAAAGCCCAGGTAGCTAAACTACAAGCTTTTTGGTCTGCTTTGAAGGAGATCCTTTGAAGACATTACTGGAGAAGTAATATTTCCATTTGTCATTAGCATTAGTGACAAATGGCATGTTCGCAAGCGCCTCGTGCCGAGCCCGCCAGGAAGCCGTCAGCGTGCGGGGCCAATCACAGGCACTGAGACATGTTCCTGGTCCACAGCTGCAGAGATCGGGAAATGTCTCAGTGCCTGTGATTGGCCCTTCGCGCTGACAGCTTCCCAGCGGACACGGCACGAGGCGCTTGTGAACACGCCCGAGTACATCACTAATTAGCATTGCACGCAGCAAGCCAATCTTTGTGACTCAAAAAGGGATACATGGCTCACAGGGAAGTCACCCTAAATGCATTGAACTGCCGATTTCCATAAGTGGGGGAAAAAAAGTATTTTGAGGGTCTAATTCTCTGGCAATCAGAAATCCTTGTCACTTTATACTAAAAGATTCTTAACACACAAAGCTGAGACTTTGTTTAAAAGAGAACTACGGGGTAACCTTTTAATCCCATAGTTCTCTTTAGGATCACAGGAGGACATATCTTCCCGTGACCAAAAGCCCAGTATATAGCGGGCTATTGCCCGTTATATACTGAGAGCGCCGCAGCCGGGAGGGATCCCAACAATGCTGTTGAGATCCACCCAGCTGATTGATTGACGGTGGGCTCTTGCCTATCTAGAGGTAGAACCAGCTATGCCCTCCCACGTCCGTTCTTCCAGTCAGCACTGGAGGATCGGAGACGGGAGGGGGAATCCCTGCAGGTAGTGGTGAGTG